TGGAGATGAACGGACACAACAGCCGTGAGCAGAGCCGGCTGCAGTGAGAGCAGAACGTCGTCTCCGGAATGTATTTGTATGTGGAGATGAGTGCCAATCTGATACAGCCCTTCCTGCATCCTTTTCTTTTTCCTGGATGCGCCTTTAACTGGGTGTTGCCGAGCTGAGCGCGTTTAATGCCCTATTAGATTTTATGCCTTGTCAGCACAGGATTAGCAACCCGAGTTTTGCAATGGCTGATGAGCAAGCGGTTGTGGAGTTGCTGTTCCTGCAAGGCTGCATGTCTCAGAAAGACAGTATGGTGTTTATGAAGATTTTAATTCTTTAATAAAATATTTAACTCATAAAATATTTAGCCAACTATATTTTTTAAAGAAGGAAATACTTGACCAGTGTCCCATTTACAAGATGCTTTCATTTACTTTTCAGGAATCTTTTAAAAGCACAGACAACGTGCATTTGGATCTTGATTTGAATCATTCGAGGTGCTCATCTTGAAGGTAACAGGTTTGTTCCTAGGAAGTTCTTGTTGAGAGGGCACTGTAACTATTTCCCTAGTAATTTTAATTTGAAGGTGTTTTGTTATAGAATTCTAACTCTGCTTATTCAGCAAAAGTCTAGTAAATGCAGTACGCAGCTGATGCCAGCTTTGATGTGTGTTCCAGAAGTAGTGTTTCCTTGATTTGTGTAACCACAGCACGCTTTCACTGTACCAGGTGAAACCTTTCCCGGTGCTCATGATGACACTGCAGTCTGGTTTTGGGTTTTTTTCCACTTGTCTTTGACACAAAGAATTTTTCAGGGAACTAGAAGAAAGATGGGAAGTGCAAGGCTCTGAAAACGGCATCACATGAACCAGTGATGTATAAAACCCAATTCATGGCTTGCTGGTCACTGTGACAAGAAATTAAAAATGTTAGGACTGAAGCCCACACAGACTGCAAGGTGTGATCCTACTCTCTTTATGTTGCTCACAAAACCCAAACCAGAGCTAGTAACCTACCGTAACCTTTTAGTATATTACTGCCTCCCGGTGGACTTCGATTTTCAACAAATTCTGCGGTGGCACTTTCATTTAGAAGGAAGCTAAAGGGGGAGGGGGGGGAGAATGTAATTTCAATCCCACCCTAAATCTGAACAATTCAGCAGTACATCTTCTGATTCCCAACAAACAGCCTTTCTTAATTATTGGCTGAAGACTCATATGCCAGAAAGAGGAAATAAGAATTTACGGTTAAGGCTAGTGAGAGTCCCTCGGGACTACTCCCTGCGTTTCATTTACTGCCCAGTAAAGGCAAACTGCAAGAGGGTCTCGTGAGCAGCTACGTCCTTCGCTGGCTCCAGGCCGCAGAGTACTTGCAGGAATCATGAGCGTAGCCTTTTTTTGTGTTTGGTTTCTGGTTTGCATGATGAGGATTAACAGTGATTACCACCTGTAGAGAACACTTTGATCTATATCCAAAGCATGATCAGTGTTTACCGAGTAATGTTAGCTCACTCTCTACTTTAACTTGCACTGAAACCATTTGCATGGTGCTGTTACAAACTGAACTAACTCCTCGCTCAGAAATCTTTTACCACAAAACAATTCTTTTTCTGAGTGATCATTATTTTCACATCATAAAGAAAAAAAAATACACGTGGCAAAACGAAAGGCTGCTGTGCCAGCCAGTAAGTAATGGACTCTTTGTGGACACAACCAGGAAATGAGCCTTTTGTTTTCCTGCACCTGTTGCTGCATTACAAATAAAATCATCCAATGTTTTATTAAATAAACTGAGAAGCCCTAATGAAACTGTACCAGCCATTACCAGGGAGTCTATTGAAAACATTCGGCAGCTGCTTCGGTCTCAGTGCATTTACACTGATAGGATTGTTCCATCCTTCTCCTTCTGCTCCAAGTGAGAAAGCTCTGGCGCGGAGCTGGCGTGCAGCAGGGCCTCGGACTGTTTCATACCATCCTCCTCTAACCCCCTTTGAGGTATTTGATCAGAATCAGTAATAAATCACCTATGACTTGGAAAAGTCTGTTGGAAGGCCGTGTCCCCGGGTCTTACGTCTAAGTGTTTGCAAACATCAGCTTACCTACCCCTACAGCACGGTGGTAAAGCAGGTAAAGATCTACTGTAGTATTCTGATTTTATAGAGAGGGATTGAGCAGAGAGATTAAGAATCAAATCAGTTACCCCTTCCCATTAGGCAAAATACATAGGTAGCCTGAGGAATCCTCTGGAGTGAGCTGGGGGTTGACCTTGTTCAGCAGAGTTAAATATCACCACTCCTTCTCTTATGAGTGGTGGTCATCTCTTATGACAGAATTGGTGTCTCTGCCTCCTGTATTTAGAAGTCAACGCATGTATTGATGTTGCATAGCAGTGCTGGCAAGCAGGTGGAGCCTCTTTCACAGGACAGACTGTCGTTCCTAGCAAGAGTTGACTAATTTAAAAGAAAAGGTAACCCTGGCAATAATCTCCACCCTAAATGCTGAACGATCTCACATTAAAACCGCCAAGAAGTTGCATCGTAACCGCTTTGGATATTGGAAAATGTTTGAGAAAGACTTTCTGGTAAAAACAGCGTAAGAATTTTGTTCAAACTTGCACGGCTCACACATCGCTAGGCTTGGTTTTAAAAATCTATGAGCAGCAGTTGGACGAAGCGTCAGCCAAGCAGTAAGCGATGCAACCCATCCTCCCCACAGCAGCTCGGAAACGGACGGCCTCGCCTGCGGGCAGAACCTGAGGATGCGCGGTCCCTAAGCATCTCCTGCTGGAGTGTTCCTTTCCAGCCACCCAGTGCGAGCGGAAGAATTACCACCCGAGTCCATCTCCTGGCCCGTTTTGGGATGTTACGCACTTGTGGAGCTACTCTGAATTTATCCCAGTACAACTCCCTGAGGAACTGAGACTCAAATAGAAGTAAGGCAAATTCAAGCTTTCGAGAGCTCAAAGAAATAACACGTATAGAATCTACAGGTATAGAACCTTCCTATTGGAAAGGTTGATCTGAAATCATATGCTGCAGTGTGCCTCAAGCAGTTGTTGGCAAATGGCTTCGGCACCCCCGGTTTGCCCCGCCGTGGATGGAGGCACACCAGGGGCACCACGTGCTCTTTGGCTCCTGTATCTGCTCCGCTCCCCTTTATTTCACAGCCAGTCTTTTTGAGCCCCTCCTGCTGGGGTTTCCGGCCCCCTTGGGATGGGCCCTTCCCTCCTCCTCTCTTGGAGCACTAACCCGAGGAGTGAGAGAGGGAAGGGCATCCGGATGTGAAAAGGACTCAGCTCTCCCTTAGAGCACCTTTCGCAGGGCGCGTAAGCGCAAGCACGGTTTTGAAGTCACCGGTTGCTGCCGTCGGATCTGTGCATTAGGATTCTGCGCCTCCCTGGTGCCAGTATCGAGTCTCCCAGGGCCCGGAGCCAAAGCGGTGAGCTCCCTCGGCGGGGCTGGCCCAGGGGAGGGCACACGCCAGCTGCGCCCCAGGTCTTGTGCAGAGCGGAGCCCCATCAGGTCTGTGAAGGGCAGGGCATAGCGTTACTTGGAAATCCTGTCTTGTACCCCAAGCTAATGGCAGTGCAGAGCAACGCAGGGCACCTGGGTCAGAATAAGGCAAATTCGGGGGATGGGGAAGAGGGGAAGGACATGTTCCTGTTTTGAACAGCTGGGCTGGGTCACCTACAGTCAGGTCCACAGGGACCAATTGCTGCTTTTGGCTGTGCAACAGCCAGTGGTGGGGAAGGCGGTCTTCTGGCCTCACCGTGGCGCCTCCAGGGAAGAAAGCAGCAGGTACCAATACTTGACTCTTCCACGGGGGTCTTTTGGGTGGTATTTAGGTGTATTTTACGTTGCAAATTGCTTAGGTTTGTGGCTGGAGTATATCAGTTGTGGCACGGGGATAGCGAGGGGTAAGCAGCTCAGCACCTGCGTGAGAGGTGCGGAGAGGGGCAGAGCACACCATCGAGGAGGAGGAAAAGGGCTCACGGTCGCCCAGGCTCCCCAGCAGATCCAAGAGGGGTGCCGAGGGGGGCATCCAGCTGGTGCCAGTAAAACCACCACAGCTGGAAGAGGATGTTTCTCTGTTGCCCAGATGCCGGCTGTGAGGTTTGAGTACGACTTCCCTATCGTTGTGACCCCCTTAGAAAAGAATTACGTTCTCCGAGCTGGAGAGGAACCCTGCCAAGGGGGCTCTTACAGCTCGGCGCCGCAGCGCGTTTGTGCCTCCGAGCTGGAGAGGAACCCTGCCAAGGCTCTTACAGCTCGGCGCCGCAGCGCGTTTGTGCCGAGGGAAAGGCAGGTGGCTGCAGGAAGGTAAACAAGGGGCTAGGCCAGGCGGGTGTATTTTCCACATTCAATGTTTACACGAGGCAGGTGCTTCTGCCAACCTTTCTCCTGACCCAACAAAAGGCAGACAGGTCCTGCGTGGTGGATTTCAGAGTTGCTGAGGAGCTGAGACATTCTCCATTTTTCTTTATCTGCCCTTCACACTGTGTGATGCTCTATGAACTCCATCGCTATTGATTTCAAACAGAAACAGGCCTAAGTGAGCAATATATATCTCTCTCCAATAAAATACATGTATTAAAAAAAATAAATCTGAAAACTCTCCTATATGTACAGCAGGTGAAAGTAAATGCTCCCCCCGAGCAGCTGCTACAAAGGTACTTTGCTATTAGAAAATTGCTTATCGTCACAGGCTACAAGCATCCCCACCAGTGCTGTCACATTTCTACAGATAAAGAAATATGTGAGTTTGTTGGAGAATAAATTTTAATTATTTCTTAATTGCTAGAGAAAGCTCTGCCTTCGTTTAAGAACACCACAAATGAGCTTGAGGTCATATCCATACCGGAGCAAAGCATGCTCGGGTGTAGCATCTCCCCAAAATACTGATCTGCATTAAATACTCATTTGTGTTTTACCAGTAATTATTTAATTCAACAAAAAGTTAGGAATAATCATATTTTCTTGCAAAAAGAAATAATCAGAAAATTATACTGGGCATATAAAACACTGGGAGGAGTATCAGTAAGACCACTATAAAATTTTATTGCAGGAAGGACATTTTAATAGGCTAGTTATTTAAATAACTTTCCACTAAATATATATATATGTAGATACTTGTTCCCATAAGGTCACCCTAGACTCTGGAAGTTAAAAGTCAAAACCAGTAAGAAGAACTTTGAAATATACCCGATATAAAAGCGGCCTGCTAAATAACTGAAGGTGGCCAGGTACCTTTGTGGTTTTCGCCCTTTGGACTGGAAGTGCGTCGGGACACCGTTCAGTCCACTCACAATTTGACTGCTGCTGGCACATCGTAATCACTCCTCTCATTATCTCATTCCAAAAGGATTCTGAAGTATTTGGGGCATTTCTGTAGAAAACTGTAGATTACAGGACTGGGTCAGGACCTCCTCTCCTTAACCACCGACCAGCTCCACCAAGGCCTCTGTCTTTGCACTCCCTCTGAGGAGGACACAGAGTCATTCACCGCAGGTCAGGTGGAAGAGTCCAACGCTAATCCAACACCTGCGAGAGCCTGGGACTCCGGAAAGGTGACGGTACAAGTTTTTGATAGGCGATTCCGAGATGCAGGTGCTTGTCCCCAGGCCGCAGCGGGCAGCGCTGGCAGATCGCACCCATCCACTTCACAGGGAGCAGATGGCAACGCTGCTGAAGTATTTATTATTTGACCGTTTCAACTTTATTTTCTCAGCAAGGCCCTTAAGACGTTATTTGCCTTTTAGGCAGAAACATACTTGAAACATAACTGAAATCCTCTGCATTAATGTCTTCAAAAACCGGTAGCGGCTCGCTGCCTGCTGTGGACCACCACTAGCCACGTGGCCAGTGCAACGCGTTCTGCATCCAACAGTGCTCTCCCAAGCGCTCATTTGCAAACGGCTTCTGGAAGATACGCATGCGGAAGGTCAGCCACCCTCCTTTTAGCTCCCGTCGGGATCGGCAGGAAGCTAACACGACAAACCGCGAGGATGTCTGCCGATTTTCCTAACCCTGCGCTTGGGTGGTAAAGAGCGAAGAGCTGCCAAGCCAGCCGTCGTGCCGCTCTTCAGCTCAGGTGCACCACAAATTACCGCGCCGAGAAGCTGAAGATTCTTGCGCAGGAAGAAAGGCAGCTCGGCCCTCAAGGCCAGACACGGAGACATGAAACGTGAGCACAAAGGAAAGCGGGCTCTGTACGAGCCGAGCGTCCCGCACCAGCCGCTGAGAGGAGGGAGAAGGCAGCTCTTGGGCAAGACGCTTCATCGTCGCGCAACGCGTACCCAGCAAGGTACCGAAAGACAGCGACAGGACTTCGTTCTCATCAGTGGTAACACCCAAGCGTCCAGGAGTCCATCTGTTTAGGTAAGGGGTCCTTTAATTTTTTGCTATAATAAAAAAGTAATCCGATTTATCTGTTTCCTTATGGAGTAAATATTCAGGAAATTTAAGAGCCGAATACACCGTATCCACGAATCGTTTATCAACGCACCCGTTACGATGTATATATTTGCACAATCTGAAAAATCAGTATCTTCATCCAAAATGGCGACGCTGGAAGGAAGGGGAAGCAATTTAGGATAGGAAAAAAAGTTCTCCAAATCAGTTATTAAAACGTCAAGCTTACCCTCATCTCCTTGGAGTGGGTTCGGGAGACGATCAAATCTATAATTACCACTGAAGTCATCTAGAGGAACGATGCCAAGTCTCAGCTTCTTCGACACGCGGTTAACCAAAACACAGAGTACGTCCTCCGGGCGCCCGGTGGGAAGGGATGCGTAAAAGGGACCGCACAGACGGCTCCAAGAGATTTATCAACAAATTATTAACGGTCACTTCATATGAGCTTCGAGTTACCTCTACTTCTGAGCAGACGAATGCTCCCCTGCCTCTTCAGTTTAAAAAGCATTCCAGTCCCAGAATAAAGTTGTAACATTAAGGCATACATACAGCTATGTTGTTTGCTTTCATTTAATAAAGATCAATTTACTCAAATACATGGAATGTTGGCACAAAACTAAAGCTCTTGTGGAACAGCTACCAACCGTACACAAATAATTCTGTGAGGTCCTCTTGACTTGCATTTCTCCGATAGATACACCACAAAATGGCTTTAATAATACAACCTGAATGCTGGATCAAATCTCTAAATAATAAGTAGCAGTTAAAGTAAATGGTTTGCTTTATTTGTAAATTATGTACAGAATACATTTATTTATTTTTTTTAATTATGATGGAGCAGGAGAAAGAAAACAGCCGTAATTTCCAAACTGTGCTGATTCCTTCACCTGCTGGAGATGACATCTTTCTCCGAACCAGATGTACAAAACCAGTTTGGATTTCCTCAGTTGCTGGCACACAGTCTGGAGAGACAGAGAACACCGCACCAAACTCAGCACTACCAGCCGTTTAATATTTTCAGCAAAATACTTCTGCTAAAACTAGTTTTCTTAGGAAAGTTTTCACAATCTTTTGACAAGAAAAATCAAGAAAAATATCAAGAAAGCTGGGGGGTAAGAAGGGCTTTACCTAAGTAGCTATCAAATAACTAGGAATAATCCGAGATTTGGTCATTCAACTTTTACCTGTTTTACAAAAGCACGTTTGAGAAGCCAAACTAATTGACCAGTTATGCAAGTACCAGAAAACTGTGGTTTTCAGTAGGTTTTGAGGACAACCTGGGCAATCTATCAATCAATAGAAAAACTTGTCAGATTGATAAAACTTCCGTGAATGGGTATTAATGATTAACACAGTACCAAGCGATCGAGTTAATGGTTAAAAAAAAAAAAAAAAAAAAAGAAGGACCTAGATAGAAAACTGTTTGGTAACACGTGTATTTCGGCAAACAAAGATGCTACTGGATGGTCTATGTTTTGGTGATCAGCCAACAAAGAAAATCCAACCATTTGCACATACTTAGTCCCAACACCACAGTGAGTTATGATTTTTCGTGTGAAGGCCTACTTTCGGTATCCTCCTCCTCTTCCTCTTCACAATCGCCTTCATCTGTTTGCTGTTCCAGTTCCTCTTTTGTGATCATTTCAAAGTCGTTTCCATTTCCACTACTGTGCTGGGACCTGTCGTCTTCGCGCCTGTCACTGTCAGTGTCTGAATGCCGCTCCCCTCCCGAGCCGTCTGTGCCCGAGTTCCTCGTTGCTTCCGTTTTCCCATCGTCGTCTTCCTTCTTCTCGCTATCCGATTTCTCCTCGCTGTCGTATTTTTGCTGCTTTTTGGATTCCGATTTTTCCTCTTTCTTTAAGTCTGCTTTTGGTCCTTTGTATTCGTGTGTGTAGAGGGGCCTGAAGGAGTCAATGAATCCCACGTCTGCTGTAAGATTTGGCAGGAACCAGAAGTGATGCCTTCCTCCAGTGATGAGCCAGATGATAAGGAAAAGGATGCAGCGAGCTGTAGAAAAACCGGAAATTTGGGGTTGTTTTTTGTTTTTATTGTAAACATCCACACTGTACAACTATGGTGTAAGAGAAATCCGCTACTAACACCCACCCAAAGCCCGGGACAGGGCTGACCTCGGGGGGAACTCTCTCATTCTGCAGCAGTGCTGTGGAATAGTTTGTTCTCGCCACATCTCCCCCACCCCATTAACCTTGTATCCGATCTAGGATTTAGCTCTTTATCCCCTCTGCTAAAGAAATACAAGCCACAGAAAGCTTTACAATCCCGGTTACGCCATTCCCACTACAGAGTCTGTTCTTATGTACAGTTCTGGGGTTTGTTTTGCTTTCCTTTTTTGGAGGCCAGAAGCAAAGCTGGACTGTACAGGAAGCACAATCAGGTGACACAAGCTTGAGCTTTCTCTCTTTTCTGTGGCAGAACCCTGACACCCAGTGGCCAGGAAGGAAATACAGACATAGAATCAGTCCAGATATCGCTAACAAGAAAGATATCATTACAAGAAAGATGTTGTGTTGCTGGAACATGTCCAGAGGAGAGCACCAAGCTGGTGAGGGGTCTGGAGCACAAGTCATACGAGGAGCGGCTGAGGGAGCTGGGGTTATGTAGTCTGGAGAAGAGGAGGCTGAGGGGAGACCTGATCGCCCTCTACAACTGCCTGACAGGAGGCTGTAGGGAGGGGGGGG